CGTCACGGGCGGCGCGGCGGGGCCGATGGCGGCCGCTCGGTGCGTGGAGGCCCCGGGGGCAGCGGGCCCCACTCCGGAGCGTGTCCGGCACTGCCCCGCCGGCCGGTGGGAGCCCCTCCACAGGGCACTCCTTTACCTGGCGACTGAATAAATGGCGTGTCGCGGCCCACGCGGTGGAAGGGGCTCACAGCGCCCGCCTGTCCCCCGGCAGGAATGTTGTGGAAGGACTGGGCCTGCGCCGCAGCTGGCTCCTGGGGATTTGAGAGCTTTCCCTTGCTGTTGCCGCGTCCTGAGAAACTGTGGGATACCGATGTTAATACAGATGTCTTTTGGTGTCAGTGGCTGATAAGTTGAGGGGATGTCCTGCTGGGAGCGGGTGGCCGCGAGAGCTGCCGTGTCCCGCAGTTTCTGGGAGACTGAACGGCAAAACAGAGGATGTTTGTGCATGTGTGAGGTGAAGGGTATTCCATAAGAAGACTGTTTTCACGTGGATTCTGGAGAGAGAAGACTACTGGGGGAAGGAGGGAGAAGATGTCAGTGTCGTGGAGCCTGGATACTGAGAAGTGGAAGCCTCAGCTTGGCAATGAAGCCCAGGATGAAGCGTGAAGGGGGACTGAATTAGTTGGAGTGTGGAGTGTGTCTATCTGAGAAGGCGATCCTTTGTACGTTTTTAAATGTTAAACCTAAGGAGAAAGAGGGTAGTCTATGATGAGATGAATTTAAGGCAAATGCTGAAGGGCAGAACAGTTTTCCTGTCTGAGACAGACTTGATGAAGGATGAAACAGTCTTTTAGTAGATACAATGAAAGGGTTTAATGGGAGCTTAACTTTACTTCTGGGATGAACAGTATGATATCAAACAGCAAAGAGAGCGAACTGGTAAGGCTCTTTCTGCCTTTGACTCCTGTGGTCACATTAAATTTACCTGCACCAGTCTTGCTGTGGCATAAATAAATTGAGGTCAAACAGAGCAGAAAATACATAATTTAAGATAAAAAAGAACATCTATTTGGACATCTTTATTAATAGAATATAAGATTTAAATTTGCACTTTCAAAGAGACTCCATGTTTGGCAATAGTTGTAAGCTTACGTTGTAGTAAGTTTACAGATGCATGTTTGCATGTGGATCTCCAATAACAACTTCAAGGACATGAATTCTTTAGACTGGGTAGATTTCTGTTATTTGCCGTATTGCTTGACAGTACTTCAGGATAACAGCAAGCCCCAAACTGTGACAAGCTTTATCAGGCTGCTGACAACCTCAGAAATCAAAATTCTCAAAGTGTTAGAGTTAGTCTAAGTGATGACGTGAACCAGTTAGACATAAAAAATGAGATCATAATGCATCAGTCTTTAACTGGGCATGAGCTTTGGGGGTTTTGTAGTAGAAACTGAGGCAGGAAGGTATATCAAAGCTCAAAATTACCATGATCAAACAACAGCAGGAACAACCCTGCAAGCTGTTGATATTTTTTGGCATTTATCTTGTTCAGGCCTCTTTGCCTCCAGAGGATTCTGACTGCAGTGGTTCAAATGGAGAGAGACTTGACAGTTTCTTGAAAATGTACTTTGGGAAACCACAGCAGTTGCTTTGACCTGTTAAGCCTCAGCAAATACCCCAAAGCAGGGCAGCATCTCTGCACTACATTCTGTGACAAACACTTGAGTGTTGTCTGACTTTCCTTTAGTTATCATCTTTCTTTATGGATGATTTTTTGTATTTAAATTATCTCCACCCCTAAAACCTGGGAAGTCCAAGATACCTGTGCACCTTACAACAGTACCTTTCTGCCTGCCTTGTGAGCAGCATCAGAGGACAGTGTTTTAAAAGTCTCTTCAATCTGAAGACAATGTGTGAAGCTGCTTCAAATGCAATTAACTTTTCATCTAGGACGTACAAATTTAATGCAATTTTCAAACTCTTGCAGTCTGTGTCCTTCTGTTAAGGTACTCTGTGTTAAGTTATGTGGAACAGCTTGTCTGCACACCCACAAAGGAGCACTGACAGACAGTGATGGGGCAGGGAGAGCCCGTATAATCCTCTGCCCTGGATACTCACAGGCCCATCACAGGCCCATCCCCACAAGCCCAGAGGAGCACAGGGCACTATGGCAGGCCATAACCCAAACTGCAGACTCCTGAGAACGAACACCGTATCTGGGTTCTTCCCAGGGCTGCCCCAGGAGACTCTCAGCCCCACCCTGCCCACCCCCCCTCGCCCCATGTCCAAGCATGAAACCCATCACCATCAGTCACGGGGAGCAGCTTTTCGGATCACCTTTCAGGTGCTGCTGAGGGGTGAGAGACATGATGGGATGCAGGGGAATAGCATTTTGGGGTCGTACATGACATATGGGAGGAAACAAAGGCAGGAAAAGGGAGGGATTTAGGTGATAGGGAGGAGGGACAAGTATGGGAAAATAGAGGGGCAAGGGGATAAAAAGGTTGCATGAAAATAGTTGGCTGGTCGGTATGGTTGTCTCTGCTGGATCAGTGCAGTCTGTCTTACCTACTGATTAAATTAGTTTCTAATGCCTTGCTGGGAGAGGGCTCGTGTGTGTGTGTGTGTGTGTGTGAGTGTTGTGGACCTCCGTCCTGCTCAGCCAGAGGGGAGCAGGATGAGGCCAATGGTGCTATCAGTGTTTGTGTGAGTTTTCTGAGTGTCTGTCTATAATCTGTGTGGCTGACCATGTATGTATGTGTATAGATGTGTTGTATACATGTGCTCTGTGTGTGTGTGCCTACTGCGAATACATCTTTTACATGTTTTTAAACAGAGCATTAACATTATGTAAATGCATTTTCTACAATTATTTTCTGGATTTTATAAGGAAACAAATACGGGGAAAGGAAGGATATGGATATAGGTCATGGGTAGCCTGAACTTTATTTTAAATGGGCCTGACAAAATTCCCTGCTGGAATGCAGAGGTTCTTGAGCTGGTGTGACAGGTTGGTTGGTCAAAGTTTGTAAACTGCAACAGTGCAAGATGAAGTACTTAAAAAATATATTTATTTATTGGAAAATAAGCTGAGAACCAGTGACATTTCTTACTACTGTTTGCCTCACTGATTGATATTTTTCACTGCTGTCCCAAATGAAGTGTTTTGGAATGCATTCTAGCATTAAAGCAGTTTTAGAGTCCTCCCAAAACATTCTCCATTGTTTTTTTCCACAAAGAATACAAAAATACAGCAATTTCCTTGTTCTGAAGGCATTCCTTTTAGATCCCTGTGTGAATTGATATTTTCATCTTAACTTTGACCAGAATTGAGTCCAATTAAAAATACTTACCAGAGAAGCTAGTGAGGTGGAAAAAACAAGTCCTCCACTGAAAATTCCAAGGTCCCCATTACTTACTGAAGGTTTTGTGGTGTTAGTCCACTTTATCCCTTTAGCTGTCTTTTCTGCCTAAAAGGCTGCTGAGTTTTTTCAGGCCTGTTGTACTACAGTCTTTTGTTGCATGACAAAGCTGCTTCTTGGCTTACAAACTGTAATTTCTCCTGAGTGTTATAGCATAGGTTCTCTTTTTTATCGTATTAGCAGTGCTGAGCCATGAGACCGATTGAACCAGTAGACTTTAGAATGAACTATATTAAAATCTGCACAACCATGAAACATATATTTAGTTATAGTAGCAGTTATATAATGTTATATGCAGTTACTTTTGAACAAAGGTGAAAGAGATGGTTTAATAGTGTTGGTACACATTTAATCAGCTAAAATGCTGCTCTACTGTAATATACTTTATTAAATTAGTTCAATGGTAATAGTTACGCAATATAGAATGATGGAAAAATCAAAGTAACAGAGCCTCAAAAGTTCTGTTAAAAGAATATTACTGAAGTTACTCATTGTATATAGAAATAAAGGATCAGACCAGAGTTCTGATTGAATACTGTCAAAAATCTTGGAAAATCACATCTGTCTAGAAATTACTGTCAGTAACTTTCCATTCAGTGAAGTATTTTATTTATGAATATGCCAAGATTATGCAAGCATAGTTTCATATAGACGTTTCATAGATTTTTGGCTACTGTTCGTGAGCCAATCATACAGAAGCAATTAGGTGCAGTAAATTGCTGAGAGGACAAAAATACAACGGGTGAGGTTGGTCTGCAGCAGGCAATAGTTACAGCTCTGCAACAGTGTTCTGCCTTTCCTTGATCCTCTGGGCATGCGTCTGCTGTGGTTTCAAAAGGTTTGGGTTTTGCAAGCAAAAGTGGCAAGCAATGCGGAACCAATGACTCCCTTGTCTGCAGTCACAGGCCACATAAGTGCTGGGGAATTCCCATGGTGAGGTCTAAACCCGGTGTTTCTGTATGAGAGCCTGTTTGGGAGATCTGGAGGTCACTGCACAAGCACATGGCCCCTTTGTGGATGCATACTGTTGCTTCCAAGGGAACAGATTCCTTGTGGAACTCTGATGAATGGGAAAGGAAGGTGTTTCTGATTAATTAACTGGAGAAGGTGTAAGAGAAAATGAGTGGAATTTCGTGGGACCTGATCGGGAGTAGGGTATTATGCAACACACGTGTTCCTGTTTTGCCTTTCCTAACTTAGATTACTTGATTCAGTATTACAGATTTATCCTGGTTTCTTCGTAAATAAATGCATTTTATGGAATAGAATTAAAGGGGAATTTAAAAATAAATGAAAGGCTATATTTCTCCTGTTGAGAGTGCTGCTAGCACTTGGAAGATATTTGGATGATTTCTGAAGCTTAAACTATAGATCTCCTCATTGTATGCTTTAAATACAAAGCAATTAATGGCTCATTAAGCTAATATATGTATGAAAGAATAAAGGTTGCATTTTTCTCAGTTAACATAATGCAGTTTTAGAGACAAATGTATTATAGTACTAAATATAATGAACTCAGCAGGGTCTCCTCCCCTTTGCTGAGATTAATTCACACACAGAAAAGGAATTGATAGGCATTTTATTCTGCCCCAGCTGAAGAGCTACATAGGAGACTCAAATAGAGTTAAAGGTAATGTAGATGACTGCATTATCACCAGCCATGTCCGTTGGCACATTTGCATCACCGAGTGTCAAACCGATGTTCAACCACAGTACGTGAGATTCCCCTTAGCAAGAACCGTAACTTGGCATGCTATATAGCACTGAGCATAGTCCATCTTGCTACCAGAAGCAAACAGTTCTCACATTTTGACTTTACTTGGTGTCTCTTGTTTTAACCAGGGACACGCTCTCACAGCCCATATGCCAAACTCCTGATGAAGTTACATGGAATTCTCCTTGGCTAAGATCAAGGCATTTAAATCAATTAAACAAATCCATGCTGTTTACATGCTTTAATGGATTTAAATGATCTTGATGGATTACATTTTATGTAAATGAAGATTGCCTGATAAAGATATGCAGAATGAATCCTTGAGTCACTGGCCAGATACCGATATCTCTGGTATGCTGAGTAATGAC